GGGCCTGCGGGGCCTCTGGCCCTGGTGGTCAGAGAGGGGAGGGCTGCTCTGCTGTCAGGATTCCCCAGGTGTTGGGCAACTGAGCCCGTCAGTCTTCGAGGAGACTCCGAGGGGGCCGTGTCAGTCCCGTACAGCTACCTGAGGGGAGGCTGCGGGCAGGTGCGGCCGGGCTCGATTTCCAGGCAGCTGGTGACAGGACCAGAGGGCACGGCCTGGAGCTGCTCCAGGGGAGGTTACGGTTGGATATTAGGAAGCAATTATTCACAGAGACAGTGATTAGACATTGGAATGGACTTCCCAGGGAAGCGGCGGAGGGCCCGTCCCTGGATGTGTTCAGGGAAAGGCTGGATGTGGCACTTAGTGCCATGGTCTAGCCCATGTGGTGGTGCTGGGTCACAGGCTGGACCTGATGATCTTAAAGGTCTTTTCCAGCCTTGGTGCTTCTCTGTGAAAAGCTGCAGGCAGGGAGGCAGGCTTGAGGGCAGAATCAAGGCAAGTTTTCATGTTCTTCTGACCAATTAGCTGATGAGCTGTAAGTTCTTACGCTCTAAAGAATTCACAGAAGATATGTGGGTTACTTCAGCTTCTCCCACCAATTAGGTAAACTGTTAATGATGGAATTTAAGTCCTTGAATATTTAGCAATTACTAAGGCAATCAAAATGTCAACTTGACATATTGAGATGGAAATAAAGACTTTGAATGAATAATAGCATACCGTTAATTTGATATTCTATGGCATGAAAACAAATGGCTGACCCTATAAAAGACTGGAGCAAGATGACATCTCAAGGAACGCAGTGCTGCTGGTGTCAAGTGTTCACTTGTCATGTTGTTCCTTGTTTCAGTTCAATTATTTCCAAGTAATGAGACAATGTTTCAGTCTTTACTGTTTGGCCTTCAGAAGCATAAATCTCGTAGTTACATAATCTGCCTGTGAACATCAGAGTGAGAACTTGAAAACATTCAGGATGATAGAATTTGAGTGCTGTAAGACTTCTTCTCTTTGATCTGCATTATTGCCTCAGTCAGAGCACAGACAGAAATGGAATGGGATTGCCAACCTCCTGACTTCACTGCCAGGAATATAAATCAACATTAAAGATGATTTTTAAATGAAATAGCAAGTTAAACATTTGTACAAACACATCATCAAATAGAGGTTATACTGCCTCTTTTTGAACCTCTTGCCTGCTGGCAAAAATAAAACTGTTCCAGTGACATTTGCTCTACTCTGCTGTGACAAAGGCTGCATAAATATAGACACCATGGATTAGAATAGACTTCAGCAATCTCTGACTTCCTTTTTAGCAGCCTCTTCTGCAGACAGTTTTCCATAGCTATGGGTGAAAAACAGGGAGCCTAAAACTGGTTATTGTATGGCAAGGTGGTGATAGTACAGCACATCCCTGATGGCAGCAGTTACAGCTAACTTTGGGGAAAAGGTGTCCTGGCTGGAGGAAAGGAGGGAGAGTCACGATTTCTGACCCTGTTACAGGTTTGCTGTGTGGGCTAGGATAAGTCATGGACTTGAAGATCTTTGATGGCATGTGCAATGCAAATGCAGATTTTTCTTTCAACTTTGCAGAGAGAAAGCAAGAAGTGTGATGAACTGTAATGCTAGCCTAGATAAATTTGGTGCTTGCTTAAAGAGAAGTCACTTATGTCTCCAGCAGAGGAGCTGCTGGTGCCAAATTGATCAGTGTCACTCAGAATCAAACATGGAGTGAGTTTTTCTTCAGCGAGAAAAACAACAATTTGTCATGTTATAATCTAACTGATTCCATTTTTATGCTTTACATTCTAGGCTGAGCCCACTTTTACCTCCAGGAAGTGAGAAGGCTGCTCCTTGCCAAGAAAGTGCAGTCAGGCTGCTGGCACACACTGGGCAGGCAAGAGGCTTGTGTCCAGTGTTGGCAGGGGTGATGCTTCTTCAAGTACACGCGGCACTTCGAGTCAGTCATCACTTGAAAAAGTCACAGGAAAAGAGAGAGGGGCAACAGATGAAATGTTTGCAAGGTAAATATCCTCTTGGCACTGTATTTTCTACACGACTTACTGTCAATTAAACGCATACAAAAACCTAATGCTGGAAATGAGAGAATAACACTTGAAAGCCTGGGAAAAGCTCCACGTGTCCTTCCTGGTTTCCCACAAAAAAACAGGCAAACAGCTAACTAAGCCAAAAAATGCACACAGCTCGGTGGACGGAGTTTTAAAACAACCAGGCTATTTTCTCCTCGCTTCTTCCTTTCCCTTTCTCAGCGTGTTACAAGTTAGCAGGGTTCTTGCAGTCCACAGTGTTAAACAAACACTCATGGGCACTATTGTGCAAATCACTCTTCCTGGATAACAGATGGATTTTTACATTCTTTCTGCATATCTGAATCTATTATTCCAAGAGGGCCCAGAAGAAAGTGGGCATTAGCTTAATGCAGCTCTGAAAGAGGAACTGTCCAGGTCAGGAGAGGAGAAATGATGGAAAGAGCCATCTAAATTGCTAAATCACTTTGAGCCAGTTACCAAATCCATTTCAGCTGCTGGTCTGTCTGAAGTGAGCTGGTGATGGCCTTTAGCCCAGTGCTTAGTGGTGTCCGTGGCACAGTATCAGTGTTTTTTTGCTGGCAGCCTTTTTAGAAAAGCCAGAAAAGCAAGAGGCTTGGACGGTTCTCTTTTCTCTGGAGCTTGTTCTCCCCTGATCAGATACAGGGCACTCTGGTGTGGCAGGTTAGGGCACAGCTCCATTTTCAGAGCTTTACCTGTTCCCTGCTTATTCCTTCCAGAGAACTGGCCTCTGGATCTGTTCCTGGAGCTCCTTCCCCCAGCACTGACGTCATTCATGTGTAAGGGAGAAGAACAAAGACAGCACTTGCCTGTTTTCTGGTGTGATTTTTCAATACTCCTTTCCCAATCCCAACATCCAAAGTAACAACATCCTTTCAAACCGCCCCCTCTTGAAATGCCACAGTAGTCAAACAGCTGCAAATCAAAACACCTTGTAAACAAGTGACTGAAATCCCGTGGGATGCCCGAGGGCTTGGGCACGTCCCAGAGTGATTATAGTTCCTGCTATACAAATTGGAGTCCATGTAGCACAGTTTGTGCCAGCTCCCAGCTCTTGCTTTTTATTTTTAGTCCTGTTTGTCAAGGGGTTCTCATGATGAAAAGAATGACGCTCGATATCAGTGATACACAGAAAAAATTAGGTAGTTGCCGGAAGTGATGGCACAACTAATCCTCCCCACTGAGACTTTTTCCACAGAATTTCGGATCCTGTGGGTCTCACAGACAGCTTTCCTCTGGGTGAATTTCACTTCCCATCAGCAGGCAGCTGAAAAATGGGACTTGCATGGGATGTGTGTCGTGAGTCTCATGCGACGAATTGAATGTCATTGTCATTGCTAATGCCAACAGCTGGGACCATCTGGGACACTAAACATAACACTGTCTAGATGTGTATAGCTGATTCAAAGTTGTTTTTAGCAAGCCTCTAAACCTTCTTCCCTTTTTGGGGCAACAAAACAAGGCTTTTGCCTTCCATGCATGGGGTTTTGTACACAGAGCAGCTTAAGTCATCAAAAGGTCTCAGTCCTGGGACTTTTCTATTCCCCCAGACATAAGTCACTCACACTGATGCTGAAGACATTATTCCTTTCTTTGGAAGAAGAGGCTGCCTATGGGGAGGACAGGATAGAAGGTGCATTAGATTACATCCCTAAAGCAGATTTTCTCTCAGGAGAACAGAATCAGTTCTCATTTACTTTGGCTTCCCCCCCCCAACCTCTAAAATTTTTACTGTGTTCATTTTTCCTTCACCATAAAACGGGAAAGTACAAGAGGTTAACTAAGCAGCAAACGCTCTCTGTTGCTTAGAAACATGGAATGTGACCAGGCAGTGTACCTAGTGCACCATCAAAGGAAGGTGGGATTGGTGGCCATGTAGCACAAAGGGATTCAGCTGTGGTATTGTGGCAAAGAAAGAGTCTGTCAAAAAGCAGGCTGTGAACCAGAAAAGGCCATTTACTTTTAAGTAGACTAGGTAAAGGCAAAGGGACAGGATAATTATGTCATGTGAATGTGATATGACACAGATAAGGGATGGAATTTTTTTCCTTCTATAGCTTATTGGAGAACAGCTCAAGTACCTGAACGTGGTTCATTTTACATAAAAAAGTCTACTCTGGAATGAATTTGTGTATCACCTCCATCACTTCTTGGCAAGGGAGGTATCTTCAGCTTTAAGCCAGAGTGATCAGATCTATGGGAAAAGAAAATGGGCAGGCACAAAGTGTGTCAAGTGGATGTGGTCCTGCTCATTTTTGAATTCTGGAAAAAAAAATAATCTTCTATAGAACCAGAAGTCAGCTGGGGCTTTCTGCATCACATGGCCTCTCTAAAGACTTTCTCACTTGGAGAAATGTCATAGGGTTCAAAGC